CAAAAAAAAAGTGAAAAGGTCAAAGAAAAAAAGAACAGAAAAAAAAAAGAACAAATAAAAAAAAAAGTTTAACTAATAAATCTCACAGTAGCTAAATGAGCATCTAATTAAATTTGAATTAAGAGAATCCTAAGTGTCACCCACCCAAGTAGCAAGTAACGAATATGATAGACGTTTAATACGTTCTGAAGGGATTAGTTCATGAACTGTTTCTACCATCCAATGATTCTAAAATACATGAACATTTGCTTTAAAACTCTTATTGATACTAACATCTAATAGTTGTAGTTTAAATGTTAGCCTACTGGGAATCATAGCCATATTCATATTCTTTACAAGCAATTGAGATTTAACCGAATCTATTAAGTGTACACGAAATGAGTCAAGAATTAAAAAGGAAGTAGGATTATTAGATGCTTTCCTAGTCCAGATATTTTTAATCTACCACAACATCTCTGTTTCATTAGCCTAACCTTTCTTATTTGCACAAACAAACACATCAGAAGGAAAGTTTTCTCGAGGTATAGTTTTCCTTTTAAAAATACACACAGGAGGTATTTTTGTTCTGTTGGCCATATACTCTAGAATAACTGTAAAATTTTTTTTCATGATCGGTGGTGCGAATGCTAATGGTATGAGTTCTATATATTTCAATTGTTGCCAGATTTGATAAGTCAAAGGTAAGGGGAGTCTCATTCATATTACTGATTAAATATAAAAGATAATAATATCAGATATGAAGATTTAAAATATAATTAAAGAAATTTTGTTTTTTTTCTTCTAAATCATCAGGTAGGTGTTGCAAAACAGTAATACAATGACAAAGTGATAAATTATAACATTCTAAAAAACTGTCAAGCCAATTATTTAAAAATTTAAATGTTGCAATATTCAGAAGATTTTGGTAAATTGTGTTTTAGACAAGTGAAATCGTCTTTGTAGTTATTAACTCTTGAGTAATAGGATTCTGTACTTGATGTTGCTTTGTAATCTACTCAAATAAAGTTGTTTCAATTTGCAGATAAGAAGGTTGTTTTCCATTATGTAATTTAAAAGCTTTTAATGAAGATGTATTTAATTCATCTTTTTTAGTTATCCACTTATGTAATTGACGAGGTTGAATATTAAAGACTTTACTTATTGCTTTAATACTCATTTCATTTTTATTTCGCTCATAATAAGCAATAATATCTAATTTTTCTTGAGCATTTCACTTTCGTTTTA